TGTGATAGGAGAACTTGCGCTTGGCCAGTCCTTGGGTGGGCACAGATCAACCAACTTCGGTCGGCGGACTTCTCCAGCCTGAGCAGCACATGAAGGCGGCTTGGGAGGACTCGCAAATCAAAGCGATGTCATCGGCGTACTCTAAGTCCCGAAGGCGGTCACCAGGGAGCAGTCCAACACTGTAGTACTCAGCTTTGTCCAGCTTAGTATCCAGGAGCTCGTCTATGGCAAAGTTTAACAAGAGTAGAGAGACTGGGCAACCCTGTCCAACACCGCCTGTGACACTGGAGGGGGAAATGTTCCCGTATTCTCACACGCGGCCCGAGGTATGATGGTAACTAGCACGGAGAATGCTGTTGTACATTTTAGGTAACCTTTCTTCAGCAAGCAGTCCCAAAGTGCCACTCTGTCAATAGAGTCAAAATCACTTTAATATCCAGGAATTGACTATAGTTGGTCGACTGAACTTATGACGATTTTCAAGTATCTGGCGGATCTTAAATATGTGATCGAGGCAACCGAGAGCTGGGCGAAATCCAGCTGGTTGTTCACACAGGTGCTGTTCTTGTGCGCAACTGAGCCTCCATAAGAGTAGGGCAGCAAACAGTTTGGATGCGACACAAACTGAGACTGATGCCACGGTGGTTGGAGCAAATTGTCCGGTCACCTTTTTGTACACAGGTAAAACGTCCGCTAAATTTCAGTCGGATGGAGTGGTTTCACTAGCCCAAATCAAATCGAACAGAGATGCCAGTTCGCGAGTGCGAGCAAGACCTCCATATTTAAAGAGGGTAGGAGGAAGTTCATCTTGGCCAGATGGTGTGTGGTGCATTAGTAGGCGAAGGTCGTTGGAAACCTCAGTTGGACGGAGTACCTTGCGAGACACATCCCTTCGTTTAGGCAAATTCTTGCCGTACCTTACCGTCTCTGCACGCATTTATTCCCTGAACTGTGTTTTAATTTGGTTACCCTATGAACTGGCTACACCCTGAATTCCTATCTAAGAGCATGAAATATCCGGTAGATATTTCGCCGAAAATGGCCGGAATTGATCCGGGTGCTTTACTTTGTACACGGATTATGTTCCTCTAGCTTTAAGGACCGAAATCTTTTCAAAAGCCATGAATTGCAGATGGATTTAATTCCACTCATAACCAGGCCTCAATGTGTTTGATAATTTACGATCACAGTTGTTGAAACACAATGTGTGTGGAAAAAGACAGCTAGTGCTCTGGCGATTCTCGTGAGGTTTGTTGAGCGGTATGTGCCACTGGGTTTGTATTCTACTATCGATTTTAATCCTAATGCAGTGCAATCACGGCAACACGAAGACATGATTCCACGCATCGAATTATATAATGTTTGCAGACGCTTTCTACAGGGACATCATCTAGATTGATGCACATAAACGACAACACGGTTATCTCGTTAGCCTTTTGTGCGCATCACGAATAGCAGGAAGCAAAGTCTATGATTGTTCTGACAAAAGGGTTTGAAATTGTACGGAAACTAACTATAGAAATGCCAGTATTCATTTGAGGATAGCTCGAAGATCATCTGTGTCTGCCACACACCACATTGACGACAAAAGTAGAACTTATACATCTGGTGGTAATATTTCCCCTGTTGGTTTGGAGGTTAAATTTGGCTCCATCAAAGCTGGCTGCTTGGGCACGGTTTTCATTTCTATGACGGGTTTCAATGATGAAACTGTGGCCTTTAATTACCTGAATTTATTTTGTACCATCCAAAACAATGGCCTTCTTGATCAATTCTATTTTAATCCGCTTTCCGCATAGATAATGGTGGCTACTGGAGACGACCCTTTGATAAACGTGGTAAGTTTGGGTAGTGTAATAAAAACAGCACTATTACCGACGTAATCTTTGCAACAAATGTGTTCCCAAGTAGAGTAAAGTTACATGTGCTTGAGATAAAGAAATTGACAAATGCAGCCAAATGCAAGCTCAGCAAGTTTGCGTGCGTGCTGGTGAAACTACAGACAGGATTTTCTGAAAGAACCGAAGTTTTAAACAGCTATAATCATTTCTGTGATTATATTATTTGATTTCATTTCCATGCAATGCCTAATTTTAATGTGGAAGCTTAGAAGCTATTTGTGTGATTCGGAAATCATTTCGTTGACATGTTTTCCTTTCCTAGAACATGTATGGACCACTACAATTTTCGTGTAATATTCGCTTTTATTATGCAGAATATAAAGCCTGCCACTTTCAGATTTATTTATTTAGCTTTGTGAGTAAAGGGCAAGTATTATATCACTTTCACTTCAGATATTGGAAAGGTTTATAGTAAGCGTTTGCATTGGTTCGTATATAATTTCCAATAAGGTTGATAAATGAAAATTGAAATGTAACTGTAGAAGTACTGACTTAGCTTTCCTGTAAATGTATCGGGATAATTTATGGAAACGAATTAAATTTGTTAGGAAAATATTGTTCGCGTGCTTGGTAAATCTCGGTGACTTCTTTCTGGCAGTCTTTTGTCCAAATCGCTTGAACAACACATTTTCCTGTGGCATGTATGTTCCAGAAAAACACGGCTGGTGCATTGGGATGAACAGGATTTTGAGTCATCAATTCTTTCGGCTATGCTGCTTTATGTACTTATTATACGGATATGGGTTTTGTGTTATGATTGAGTTTTCCGCAAACGCTGCACCGGTGCATCAACCTTTTCTCAAATGCCACCACCAAAATCCGTGCTAAAACTAACGGATTCTAAAGGCTTTCTAACAAAACGGATGAAAATTTGATTGCTATGGCTATTGCTGCTGCGCTACTTGTTATATATAAATATGTTCTAATTAACCTTTTACATGCAATCCAGTTCGCGCTTGACATACACAAACTAGCACACTGTGCGTAGTTCCTTCTATTCTAAAACTTGTATTCCGGTCGCTTGAACATCATTAGAAGGAGGTTCTGACATACCATGTTTGAAGTTTTCTTTAGGTGGTCTTGCTTGCCGTGTCCCTCTTGGGGTTTTTTGTTTGTGGTGCTCTCCATGGGACATTCAGATTGATACGTATCCTACAGGATCTGCGACTAAACGCGCTAGCGAAACGTAACATGATTTGTCGTCGGTGGTAGATCCTAATTTTACTCGGATAACTAGAATCTACATATTGTGAAGAGTTCAGATGAAGAGCAATTCCTAAGAGGTTTACGGGATTGCCTTTCACACGCATCAGCACGCACAATGAGTTCCATTGATCTTGGTCGTTCAATAACGTACTCTGCAATGGGATGGTGGAAGATTCAGGGAATTTTGATCAACTTATGTACAGAGCGGATTGCTCTCAACAAGGTCCTTTTGAGCTACAGGTAATGAGAGCTGGTTGTTGGCTTCTTCATCCTTGTTAATGCTAGGGTTCAAGTCTAGTAGAATTTGCTTAAACAGACGTTTCGAGTGGTGCCTGATTTTACTTGTCATGAGCAATATTTGACTCTAGTAACTGCGGTCAGTTATCACCCGACGCTCTATCAAATTTGATGAAGACAACGGAGATGAGGATGTAGCTGATTGCGGTTCAGGAAAAGCGGATTGTGCAGCATTCCCTTGCTCAGAGGCTGCTACGCTTCCATGGTGCATGCTCGCTTTCTTTAAATTAACCTTATCGCTTATCCTCCGCTCGGTTTTTAAGTAAACCGGCCGCATTTCTGAACTAGGATAAGCAAGCACTTAACGAGTGGGCAGTTGGAGCATGCAGTACAGAAACAATGTGCATCTTGGGAGCTATTTCTCCCTTGTACATGTTGTTGAACACAGATTAAGAGATCAGAGATTCACAGTCGCTTTGTGAAAGGCCTGATTGGACTAAGTTTAAGATTTTCGGGCTGCCTTGCGAATTCCGTATGCAATAGTGTCTCACAGAAAGGCAATCGGGTCAATGTGATTGACTTATTGACTTGCGCTTAGTCACGGATATCAGTGAAAATGGTTACTAATTGCACTTAATTTGGTCGTGGAATATAATTCCACGAATGATGGATCACTGGGTAGGAGTGGTAAATCCGGTTGGAAAAGACATATGCACAAATAACTTTTAACGGTATACCCTGCGATACACAACCCTACGTGTAGACAATATCTTGCCGTACCTTGCAGTCTGCGCACGCATTTCTCTCCTGAATTGTGTTTTAATTTGGTTATGCTATGAGCTGGATACACCGAGAATTCCTACCTAAGAGCGCGAGAATAGCTGGCAGATATTTCGCCGAAATTGGCCGCAAATGATCGGGGTGCTTTTATTTGTACACTATTTGCAGTCGCCGTTTTAAGGACCGAAATCTTTCCAAAATGCATGAAAGGCAGATTTTAAATCCACTAATCACTAATTCTCGATGTATTTGGTAATTTGCCATCACAGCTGTTGAAACACTACCTGTGTAACGAATAGCTATTGATCTGGCAATACTCGTGAGGTTTATTGAACGGTATGTGCCACTGAGTTTGAATTCTGCTATCGATTTATTCCCATTGTAGTGAAATCACGGCACAACTAAGACATGATTCCACGCATCGAATTAAACGATGTCCGCAGACGCTTTGTACAGGGTCATTATCTGGATTGATGCACATAAACGACAAGATGGTTTTCTCATTAACCGCTTGTGCGCATCATGATTAGCAGGAAGCCACGCCCATGTTTGTCTTGACGAAATCATTTGCAATTGTATGAAAGCAAACTATAGAAATGCCAGTATTCATTCGTGGAAATCCTGAAGATCATTTGTGTCTGCCCCACCCTACATTAAATACAAACGTATAACTTATACATCTGGTTGTAATATTCCCCCTGTTAGTTTGGAGGTTAATCTTGGCTCCAGCAAAACTGGCTGCTTGGGCACTGTCTTCATTTCTATGACTGGTTTCAATGATTTAACTGTGTATCATGAAATGCCTGAATTATATATTTTACCAAACAAAGCAATGATCCTCTTGAGACATTCTACTTTAATCCGCTTTCCGCACAGATAATGGTGGCTACTGGAGACGGCCCTTTGATAAACGTGGTTGTGTAAATAAAAGCGGCACTATTGCCAACGTACTATTTCCAATGCTTATTTTCCCATATGGGAAGAATTTAGAAGGTATTGAGAAAAAGGTGACAAATGCAGCCAAATGAAAGCTCAGCAAGTTTGCTTGCGTGCTGGATACATACAGACGGGATTTTCCAAATGAGTCCGAATGTCCATATTCTAGATTTAACTCCACAATATTTGTGGCGTGATGGCTTGTTCATAAATACTTGGGATGTCTGGACGTTGCATGATTGCGACTGACGAATAGATAAGATGATATGTTTTTAATCGACTCTATTCCTTTCTGTATTTAAATTATTGACTTTCATTTTTGTGCAATGCCTTATTTCAACAAGTAAGCGTCCAACCCAGTTGTTGTTATTCCGTGTTTATTCCGTTGCCCTCGTTTCCATTCCTGGATGCAATTAACAACCTCTAAAATTTGTTATGTTGGTAGCTTTAATTTTGCGTGAACACTGTCGACGGAAGGCATGTTGCTCAGACCTGAGGATGCTACAGCTTTCATTAATAACAAACCAGTGCGGCGGCAATTATGGATTTTAATGATCTTGTGGATAATTGAAATGAGGAATATTAGGCGGTAGTTAGAGTGGACAGTCCAGCTTCCATCATTTGAATCGGGTTGTTATGCAAAGCTTTCACGTAGCAGGAAGTTGGTTTTGGTATTAACAGCGCTGGAAAAGCTGATCTAAGGGAGCTGCAATTTTGCTTGCTGCATCTGGATAAGTGGTATCGAGACCCGGCGAGCTGTGTTTGCATTTGCGTAGTTAGTTTTGCAATGCAGCCTTCGCGGTCAAAGTGCTGTGGTTTAGTGCGAGCGGACAGGCGACAATAGGTGGTAGATCGCTTGGTGGCAAGACCCTCTGAAACTTGAGGGCACATTGCATCCGGAGTGCATTTGCTGCTTACACAGCCGTTGTTGTTGGTCCAACCGCCATCCTGAGTGGAGGAACTACTTGCCTCTTCTTTCTTAGACTATTGACGTGCTTGTACAGCAGTATTTGGAAAGCACTAAACGTTTCCTTGATGTTCTCCTGATACGCAGCCTTGGCTTATATTAACAGTTGCGTAATGTGATTACATTGGGTTACGTAATTGTCCCAACATTATGGTGCTGGAGCTTTTCTGTACACTCGCCATGATGCGTTGAATACTGTAATCCAATTTGGCGTTTTAATCTTAACGAAAGAAAATGATCTACACTTAGTTCCTACTCTTGTTGGATTATGTTTTTATTCATCTACTGGGTGGGGTAATCGTTTGTTCTGACCAGTTGTCAATTGTTGATTTTTTACTGTTTGTCCCTCTATTTGCGTTAACGACGTTAACAACAAAAGATTCCGCAACGGCGGCCTCTTGGCTGACTTCTGCAGAAATCTTTGCATATGCAACTTATGTACCGAGGAGATTTCACCCAACAAGATACTTTTGAGCTACAGGTAACGAGAGCTGGATTATGGCTTCTTCATTCATGTTAATGCCAGGGGTCAGGTCTAGTGGAATTTGCTTAACTAGTCGTTTCGAGTGATGCCTGATTTTCGTTGTCATGAGGAATATTTGACTCTAGTAAATACGGTCAGTTTTCGCCCGACATTCTAACAAATTTGGTGAAGACAACGGAGATAAGGATGTGGCTGATTGCAGTTTAGGGGAAGCGAATTGCGCAGCATTCCTTTGCACAGAGGCTGCTACGCTTCCGTGGTGCATGCTTGCTTTCATTAAAGTAATCTTATCGTCTATCCTCCGCTCAGCTTTGCAGTTAACCGGTCGCACTTCTGAACTAGGATAAGCAAGCACTTAACGATTGGGATGGTGGATCACGCAGTACAGGACCAAAGTGCATCTTGGGAGTTATTTCTCTCTTGTACCTGTTGTTGGGACACGTTTGCATGTTTCGGATGATACCATTCCAAAAATTACGAGCAAGCCAAACCTAGTTAAATAATCCATGATATTCTCCTAATTCGCAAATGCTTTATGATTGGCGCCATTTCGGATCCGTATGTTTGCCATTAACGTGGTGTCGTTACGCGTTTCGGTGGGTTGGTTGGCTTCCTGTACATTTCCAACTTTGAGAGTGGCGCACATTGCAAACGTTGTGGTTGAAAGTCAAATGAGCGGTCGGCATGGTCACGCGGTCCGTGTGATTGATTATGCAGGCGCATTGGCTGACAACTTCACAAGGATTGGCAAGTGACAGGAACCTGCTAACTGAATCTGCACACAGCGCTGAACACAGAGTAAGAGATAACAAATTAATCCACCGCCGCTTTGTGAAAGGCCTGATCGGACTGCCTTGCGAATTCTGTATACAGTGGTGTCACACAGAAAGGCAATCGGCTCAATGTGATTGAGTTATTGGCTTGCGCTTAGTCAAGGATGTTAGTGAAAATGGTTACTGATGGCACGGACTTTAGTCGTAGAATATAACTCTACGTATGATGGATTAGTGTGTAGGACTGATAAATCCGGTTTGAATGAGTGTACCGTTATAACACTGCGAGATGGAGAGAGGATAGAGAGGAATAATCCAAATGAAGCAGGAGTACCCACGTCGTGTGTGTGTGTGGATGACATTGGTTTGCCTGAATGTCAATATGCGATTTTGCTTGTGGATTCCTTTAAACTTCGCAGCAAAACCTGAAAATAACTAAATGGCTTAAAGTAAATCCGTATAAATCGTGAAGTGTAGTATAGGCTTACAATATTACATTTATCCGTTCATCACATAGGCACTCATCACATAATTAACGGATAAGAATTTGAGAGACGTGAGTTAAAACGATGTCATAAAAATTGCATTAAATATTTTCACCAAAATATTCATTTGATAACGTTTCTTATACAGCATACTACTGCTTCATGAAAATAAGGTTTACCCCAATAAGTCTAATGGTCATTGCTGATTAGGAAGCATATGGAGGAAAGTTATGTGACCTAATATATAACTGTTTGCTAGGTATTTCGACGGCAGTGCATACATCTGTGCTATCTTATCTGACATGTGCCTACACTGTCTTAGCAAGCCAAACATAAGGTACGTCGAAACACGTAAATAATTGAGAGGTATTCGTGTCATTTATGAATCCTACCACAGCAACTATTGAAACATTATTTTTTCAAATCAATATTACTTTGCCTTAGTGATGAAATGTTTGCACAAAATTTAACAATTCTGATTTGGAACATATTTTGCTCAGTGAAACAAAGTGCTATGGACGGATCGATACCGTTGGGGAATGCAGTGAAAGACCTGTTTTGTTGTACTATTAAATACAAAATTACGCTGCGGGCTAAACGAATAAAATACACGTGTACAAAGGTTCTCCATTTTATTGTACGTTATATGCAGAAATATAATAATTTTGTTGGTTGGACATATCTAATTCTAATTAGAGTTAGATTGAAGGAATGTTAAATTCCAAGCCAACTATGGGATTGGAATTCTTATTTACGTGCAGTATATTATGATAAGAGAAATTGGTTTGAATCATTGCTGCCAATGCATCTCACATAAAACTTTAGTCAGATATAATTGCCTGATTCAGTATTGTTTAATGCGAGACACGCACAATCAAATTGACAACTTTCGTGACTTCAATTTTAGGAGGGTAATTTGAAAAATGTCGTTATCCATCACACTTGCTTATTTCAACTCGCCATCTTATCTCCTCAATAAAACATTTGCCTACTCTGCCTATCTGTTTACCGTTACTCTGGGCTGTTAAGCACGCGGTAATGACACTTCAATTGTCTGCATAACCCACCTTGCGCTGCCGTCAATTATGATGGAAGCGCACGGCTTCATCCTGCACGTATTCCACTGTACATCGTACTGCGTGTGGTAGGTGTTTTACGTTGAAAGTATTGGTGTCCAAATGTAATTCATGTTACGTATGCGGTGAGAAGTGGTTGTCTAAACTACATTGCAACGACATCCTTGATCATAATCTACTGCTGCTGATCATGTTAAGTCAATGCATTGTGAAATGTGACCTTCCATACTGCGAATTCTGTATATGTCGATAGCAGGCAAATATTTCTGTATTCCACAAGGCATTCTGTTTGCGGTCGATATATCTAGAATTCCAATCGCAAAGCGACATTTGCGCATACATTTTAACCTGCTCTACCGACCACCTGTCTATGGAGACCACATCTCTATGGGGGTCAGTCAAGGAACATTCGCAAATCCTTACCCATATTTTCGCATTGATGTAGCCTGTGTATCGCGTCCTCTTGTCTAACGCAACCGCAACCACAATTTTGTTATTTCAAAATATATAAAAGACGAACACCAATAGCACAACTGGCTGTGATTACGTCTTGAGGTGTCATAAAAGTCTGAGACCGTATCACACAGGTGGATTAGATCTTGTCTCAAGTAGTCATAATTGGTCGCTTGTTCTATTAATCTTGGCTGTGCAGCATATTAAAGAGAAGCAGTGTGATTGTAAATGTGTGTTTAATGAGCCTGCGGTTTGTCTACGAGTTACTTATTCTAAATACCTTCCAGATTCTAAAGGCAAACTCGTTGCGAGTGCTCGCTTGTTACACATAACAGGAAAAACTGAAGCGTCCTATGTCCATCAGCCAAATCTTGAATAATTCAATAAATTACCATGAATAAACTAACGGAGAATTACGAGATTAATAAAAAGGAATGGACGACTGCAGTTATTTTTGAATGTTATCTTAAACGGTTGACAGAAAGGTGTTTCACATTAAGCGCAATATTATTTAACTAAATAAATATCTAGATAATCAACTAGTTGAAACACGGCCCAGATAAGCGGGTCCGAGCAGAATGTACATGGGAATAGAAAATTATTTTAAACCTGTTGCATATAAACTCTTGTGGTTCCAATTCCATTGATTCTTGTGCCAATTATTTCGTTCCAAATTCCTTGGAATCCACGACACTTGCAAAACGTTCCGATAGTATTAAGCGTATGTTTGTGAACAGTAAGCAAAATGACATTATCATGACATTAGTATAACATTAATATAAACAATAATTTCTAACTAGTGAGGGTGTGTGATCCTTCGTGTTACACGATAAAAGGTTAAACTGAGAATGGCA